ACAGGCACCCACCACAACACCCAGCTATTTTTAGGTTGTAGTTGTCATTGTTCGACAGGCCCGCCCAGGCTGGATTCGAACCTGCCAGCGCCGGTGTATGTGGCTGGTACCCTAGCTGCTGAGCTACAGGTACTGAGCGAAAGGTCTTAATTTTTAAACAGAGTCTTTAAACAATAACAACAAAGTGCAAAATCACACTGGAAGCCAACCTGAAACGTCTGGAAACTTGAGGTCTCGATCCCACAAATGGGTCTCGTGCTTCTTATGGGAATGTGCAATCTCCAAGCCAGCGCAGGTTTGAATCTGCTGCTTTTTAAACTATGAGCCACAGGAGGTCCGTGCTAGTCCCATCTTAATGACAGAGCAAGTCCATTAGACTCACATCCAATTTCATCTCTTGAACCACAGTCATGAAACAGGATGTATCCCACAAGATGTTTCAATATGTTTTCGGTCCAAATGATACACCTTCAATTAAAAAACGCATTGCCGTTGCGTTATATACCACAGATCATTAAACGCCTATCATGGTCCGTGGCCAAGCCTCTTGGTCTAAGAGGTGGTTGACATTTAGCTAGAAACACGTAAAACGCTTCAGAATAAATTACGACCCAAACTTACTCTTCTTAATGACACATATAAAGTTCAGCTTTTTTTTTTTTTTTTGAGACAGAGCCTCAAGCTATCCCCCTGGGTAGAGTGCCATGGCATTACAGCTCACAGCAACCTCCAACTCCTGGGCTCAAGCGAGTCTCCTGCCTCCGCCTCCCAAGTAGCTGGGACCACAGGCGCCCGCCACAACGCCCGGCTGTTTTTTGGTTGCAGCCGTCATTGCTGTTTGGCGGGTCCGGGCTGGGGATTCGAACCCGCCACCTTAGGTGTACATGGCTGGCGCCTTAGCCGGTTGAGCTATAGGCGCCGAGCCAAGTTCAGCTTTTTAATAAAAGGATTCAGGAATATGAAAACAAAGTCCCCAGCAGTATTAAGGAAAGAAAAATCTTTGAAGATGGTCAGTTCTTGTTTCAACTAAATTGTACACTTTTAATATAATTGGTATAAAGTGAAACTCAAAAAAAAAAAAAACCATGGAGGAATTTAATATAAAGTGGAACATCGTATTTTCAGGGTCACCAGTGCTGTGGTTGAGATTTGTCTCTTAAACAATGACACTTAGTATCTCTGTAGTTCCATGAATACTTTTGAAGTGTCATATTAAAACCAATCTCATGGCCTTGAGGCAAAGAGAAGCAATTAGTCTTGGAGTTGTGAATAAATAAAAATCCATTTATACACCCGTCCTTGACATGTACCTTGCAAATCTTAGAAACTTCATCTAGTGGGAAAAGAAATGTTAAATCATGAATACCAATACTAATCACATCGCCATGTGGCTTCCTAAAACAGTTTAGCTTATATCAATCTTTTAAGTATTAATTTATATGTATATATTCACCCATACTGAACACAAAACAAAGGCACTTCTAGCAGCCACCTAGGAGAAGAGGAGAAAAGAGGCGTGAGGGGCATCAGGGGACACGTGGACTGTGACAAGCGGGTGATCAGTGGGTCCCTTGTCCTCAAATAGGAACCTGGCGCGTTTTCCCTCATTATAGCCTCCTCAAAGGTCTGGGAAAGGGGGAAGGTTCTGCCCATGTGGTCCCAGCCAGCATTTAAGGGAGGACTCGGGAAGTCAAAGTATGTGGGTACCCGCTGCTCTCCTTGTTGGGTCCGTTCCTTCAGTGTGGAGTGAGATGCTGAGCGAAAGGGAGCTGTGCTGTTCTGAGTCCTGCTTGGGGCACTTGGCCACAGAGCTGAGCCGACCTCTAAGGCCCGCCTAGCCTGAGTGGCCAGCGCAGAGCCCGGTTTTTAGTTAGTCACAGCTGGGGAACAGAAGCCCGGGGGTTGAGGGGCGCCGGGGCAGAGTGGGCAGCCTGAGGGCTGTGCTGGAGCCCCCTCCCCCCACAGATCCCTGACCTACTTCGAGGGCCCCTTTCTGTTCCAGGAGCAGCTCAAAATCCATAAATTAAGGAAATTAACTGATGGGGCCCGCGGCATCTTTGTAAGCTATTTAAATCTATAAATTTACCACATCTTCTGCATATATCAAGTAATTGAACTAACTGCGGGGATGTAACTTTAATGAGAAAATTTCCCCCCTTCTCCGGTAGTTCGAGCTCTCAAATAAATAAATAAATACCGCCTTCCCTTTGGAAGGAAAGTTGCTGCTCATCCCCACGTGGAGAAGTTAGAGAAGTGCGGTCCAGACGCTAGTTCCACCGGGACACCCCCTCCATCCTCTCCCTTCAACCCCCCACTCTGTCCCCGCCTGGCTCTGAGCCGGTCCCCAGAGCCCCCGGGAGTACAGCCGCTAGAGGGCGCCCAGGCGACCGCGACTCGGAGCGGGGGCCCCGGCGCCGCTCCCGGCCGGAGCGCACCCGCCCCACGGCCGGAGTCCGGGCATCCAGGGAGCCAGGCGGGGGCGCACTGCAAGCCGGGCGCACAGGCGGCTCCGCGCCCCGTTTCCTAGGAGCCGAGAAATGGTCGAGGAGGAGGAGGGACGGGCGGGGCGCTAGGGAAAGAGGAGGAAGAGGAAGGGGAGGAGGAGGTGGGAGAGGAGAAGGGGCAGCGGATGCGGTGACCGGAGAGGGGCGCCCCGGGCACAGGCTCCGACGCCGCAGGGAGTCTTGGCCGCCGACGTCTCCTTCGCGCCGCGCGCGTAAAGGAAATGGCGCGTCTGGCCGCGGGCGGCCGGCCCGGTGCCTCCCGCAAGTCCCTCCCCGCGGTGGCCGACCGCGTGTCCGCAGACGTCACGGCAGAGGCCGCTCCTCGGGAGAGGGTCAGCCGGGGCAGAGACCCTGGTTGGAAGACCGGGGAGGGGGAGGGGTGGCCCTGCCCCCTGCTCGGCTCCAGCCCGGGCCGACTCGCAGCCCAGTTTCTTCCCAAGTCCCGCCCCCAGCCCCGGGCGCCGCGGCGGCGGCTGCTTTCCTCTTTGTAACCGAGGAGTCAAGAAATGTGAGAAACGTGCCCTGTGTTACTTATTTGGGAGCCGAAAATTTATGCCCAGCTGAAAGCGCCCGGGGAAATATTACATCAGATGAAATGACAATGATTAAAATCAGCCTCTCCCCCGCCCCCTCCCCGAGCCCGGAGGAGGCCCGGGCGCCGCGTGGCCGGCCGGCGGGGGGCGGGGGGCTGGCCGCGGAGGGCGCTGGGGCCTGGGCGCACCGCTCCCGGGAGGGTCCTTGCCGGGGCCCCGGCGGCGAGGCGCGGGCTGTGATAGAGGCAGGAGAGGCGGGTGGGGATCGCCCGGCGAAAGGAGGGGAAACAGCGCATTTTTGTCGCCGAGCGCGGCAGGCGCGGGCGCGCGGAGCTAATTGCGACTCTAATCCTCTGCCCTGCGGCGCAGCCGAGCCCCGAGCCAGGAGTCGCCGCGCGCGCCCGCTCGCGCTCGCCGCGCTGGGTAATTTGGAGCCGGATCGCTGCCCTTTGCGTCCGAGCTGGGCCGCGGCAAGGCGCGGGCTACGGGCTGGGGCGGGGGGCTGATTTTCTCTCCAGCGATTGAGGGAGGCCGCTGGAGAGAGGAGGGAGAGGAGGTGGGAGCGGCGGGAGGGCAGCCGG